TCGCTGTAGTATTGTTGTTGCTGCCGCCATGTCGTGAAGGCGCTGAGTGTTGAGAAACTACTTTGTTTGGCCTTCCAAAAGAGGACGATATCCACTTTGTCATGCCTGGAGCTAAAGATAAAAGTCATTTTCATACAGTAGTATTTGTTTCTGGAGTTGATAATCTATTAAAACTTAACCTAAAAATTAAAATTTTTGCTTCCAGCGCCCCTACGATGCTATCCGAACGCCCCCGTTTGGAAAGGCTATCAGTGGCACCCCCATTATTATCATCATCACTGTTGCCAACTCTCGCGAGACAAATAAGCAACCACAGTTTTAAAAACAAGCCCAATATTATTTTTATTATTTATTATCATGAATATTATTTATTATCAATCATTTATTACCAATAAATGAGCCTGCATCATATTAAACTGAAACCACTCTTTTATTTGAAAAGCAAAAGCAGAATTTATTTGACAAAAATCAGCAAACTGCAACAAAGCGGGAGGTAGTCGCACTATCCACTCCAATCATCTCAAATCTCCAATCACCTGTGAGCAGAATAGGATTGTAGAGATGGAAAAGGAGAAAAAGACAAGAGATTAAAGGGGAGCTGTAACATAGCCACATATTTATAGCCTAATAAAATATATTTGAACCAAACATATACTGTTAGTAGGAGTATAGGCCTACTTGTTTTTATTATAGCCCTTGATAATTAATACGTACAAACACTTTGTAAAAATGAAAAATTTACCTTTAAAAAGAAAGTCATCCTGTCTACTACAGTACCATCATCGCTTGGATTACAGCATCACACGCCTTCCTGTTGAGCGTGATTTTTCTCCAATGAGGGGGCGGAATGTTTGACGAATTACGATACAGCACTTACATTATTGCACTGATTTGGCTATTAACTGTGAGCAGAGTGTCAATCAGTGCATTGGAGAATACGGCGAACATAAATACAAAGAAACGAAGTTGCTTGTCAGACTTTCCTAACAAGCCACCATATTTTTTTAAATAAGCCCAAAAAACGCAACCCGCCACCCAAGATTTTTTCGCGCAACTTAACAAAAATAAAATGAATAAATAAATAGCCCAAAATTCGCGTATTATAAGCGGACTTGGCAACTGATTATCATAAAGGACATCATTATTATCTACTGTAATGTTACATTAATAAATTTAGCACACAGATATATCACATGAATTTATAGTTTAGGTAGGGAGGGAGCTAGAGCAGACAGCAACACAAAAATATGAATAATAGCCTTATAATACAATAGTGGCTTCAGTATAGAATTTTACAATAAAGATATTGTACTAATTTTGACATTTAGGCACTTTAGTGTTTTATTATATTTGTATGAAATATAGGTTTGTTAAATCTTGGGTATTTAAGTCATTTTAGATTGTGTCCCATTCCGGCACTGATGAGCAGAATAAAATGTCACTTCCTCATGTCTTTTGCCTGAGTGATGATGTGTTCAGGTCTAAAGGTGATTTTATTCATGAATGTGGCACTATCAGTTTTATCATCTTTTATTGGCCCAGTGCAGGAAAGAAAGAATGAGGATGTGTCTGATGAGCAGAATAAAATGTCACTTCCTCATGTCTTTTGCCTGAGTGATGATGTGTTCAGGTCTAAAGGTGATTTTATTCATGAATGTGGCACTATCAGTTTTATCATCTTTTATTGGCCCAGTGCAGGAAAGAAAGAATGAGGATGTGTCTGATGATTTCTGAGAAGCTGTTTCATGCATGGGGTCAATAGTATAGCTACGCCTGAGTAATTTATGCATTATAAATATAAATATAATATTTACATTTAAAAACACTAGCCAAAATATTGAATAGATGAGCACAGACAGGATGTCAAATGTGTAAGATTTAAAGAACTGGTGTTCAATCTGCTTTCTACTGAGTTCTGTGTGTGCAGATTCCATGTGAGCCTGCAAATGATCATTACAATACCAGATCTGCAGATATGATTCTATGTTATTAGTACTTGTCCATCATGTTTTCACGTCATTAACAGACATTTCGCTTTTATAACTCAGTGTATACGGTAATGGCTTTGACCCTAATCTTTTACTGTTACAGAAATATACTTCTGTATTTGTGACTTTG